ACGAGTATAGGGCCGTCATCAACAGTTTGAGGGACTTGACTCATATTCGTTCAGATCTTTCATATGTTGTCGGAACGGTGAATAGATACACGAAGAAGCCTATATGAAACATCATTAAGCCATCAAGCACATTCTCTGTAATGTGAAGGAAACCACAAACTACGTGCTAAAGTATTAACGAGCGTGAGGACCTAAAGAACTAGTAAGTCTTACTTATATTGATTTAGTCAAGGACATCCACAATAGAAAAAAAATGGAGGAATTACATTTTAACTCAACAAAAATTTGATCACTTGACAATCTCAAAAGTAGTGAACTGTGACACTTTCTTCCTGTGAGGCTGAGTTCATGTCAGCACGTGCAGTGTCATGCCGAGTTTTGTGATTGAGAAATTTGTTGTGCGAAGTGATTGGAAGTGAGCTAAATGCAGTAACTCTCTGTGTCGACAATAAATCTACGATTGCATTGATGAAGAATTCGGTATTTCACGAATGGAGCAAACATATCAACACTCACTTCCACTTCTTCTTAGTTATTGAAGCAAGTTTAGGAGAATTGTTAATGTTTTTCCATGTGTTTTATTCCCAAATAAGAGTAAGAATAAAAAAAACATAATGTTGAAGGTTTTTTTAGTACAAAAACACTCTGAGAAGAAGTAGTGGAGACTTGATAGCTTATTTTATATTTTAATTTTGAGAGCGTTGAAATTGAGATTCAAATTATCTTAGATAATAAAATATCTCAAGCCATAACACTTCATAAATAAGATTGATCAACGTCTTTATGCATTTGTAAGATTGATCAACGAATGGCTTTATTTTAAAAATAAAATCAATTTCTTGTTAATGGTTATTAGGTATATGTACGTTTAACTCAATTAGGATAGCCCGATGTTTAGGTAAAGAAAATGTGGTTGCACAAGAAACGTATTTTATGGTATGAAACTTTGGCGAGGTCATGAACTAAGGGTGCTTAAATCCTTTTTCTATTTTAAAATTAGATCGATATGCTTGTGGAAGGATAGATGGTTACAAACATGATCTTGAATATTTGTCGTGTCACCTTAATTTCCATAATAAATTTTAATCATTAAATGGTATTAATTTCTCTTTTCAATTAAACCCTTAACTTAAGCAATCCGTTTACTAAATTAAACGGCCAATTACTTTATTTTTCTTCTAAATCATGGAGAAAAGAAATTGAAGCAACCCACTATTAGTAGAATTAGAGTTGATACAGTCTTCTTAACGTAATCATTTTGTGTAGAAACATGCGTTTAAAGTTTATCATACAATATAAACTTCATCTTAAAACCTTGTCATGAACCTATGAAACATCTTTAAAATAATACAACGAAATACTAAATGAAATAAATAAGCGTTAAAATTAAAAACACCCTACTCTAACCTAAGTCTAAAAAAATAAGTACAACTATTCTATACATGTGTCATATTCTTGAGTTGTGATGTGGTCGTCAGCTGTGTGATGAAAAAAAAAAGTAGCACATGGCTTGAGTATTTTAAGAAATACTGAATAAGCTACCTCCCTATCAAGGTTATATGCAAACATATACAATTTCATGTGTGAGATCTATCATGACAGTCTATTTTTCTACGACAGCTATCCTAAACGGGCAATTTGGATGTGTACTCAATTTTCCTACACACGGTCCACACGTGCGAGTATGGACCCACAAGTCAGTTCGCGCACCTCCTAGGCCCCTTTCTGGTCGGGCAAACATTATTTGGTAGTTGTTGATGTCGGACACCCGTTGGGAATAACGACTGTCACGACAACATTATGATAAACATAATGATCGTCGTAGCATACGCGTCCGTACTAGCATGAAAGAGAAGAGGTATCCCCTGATGCATGAACACACAATAATTCATGAGGTCCCAACATTTTTCTATTTTCATTATCATATAATACAACCTCGCTAGCATCTTCCTTCATATCATTATCATTTATCATATCTTCCATATGTGTGTTGTGGTTGTACTTTATGCTAATTCGTCGTTTTGCATGTCAATCATATCACATATCATTCATGTTGCACATAAACTATATCATAACTTATCATATCTTTGCACGTATCAATTCACGTCATGCACATATCATATCATATGGTATATCATAAAGGTCATATAATATAACTCGAGCATGCCTTCAACATATCATATCACAATAGATCATATCATAAACATATCAATTTATCACATATAGCATAACATTCATGTAACATCTCATTTTATAACAATTTACATATACGAGTATAAGACACGTGCGAAGCCGTAGGGCACGTGTCATCAATCAGCACACAATTATAACCAAACGACGGTAGGGCCACTTACTTAGTTGGCCTAGGTCGAAGCTACTACGACTCCTTGATTTTAACGCTACTTAATGCTGCTCTCTGAAATTTAATTCAGCATAAGGAGCCTAAACTTATAAATTAGAACTACTATGTGAATTGACTCAATTTTACATAAAATAATTTAAAAACTACTCATGCCTCTTAATAATTTAAACAAACTAAATGTAATTATGCATAAATAATTTAAATTTGATTCCAAAAATTAACTAGTCAAACTGTGGTCATACTAACCTTAAAACACTTCTAAAAAGTTGAAACTAGAAGGAAATAGTCCGAGCATATCAGAGTTCGAACGTATCAGACCCAGGCCACCCAAAATGTTAGCCTAGAGCCATCAGAAAATGTATTCTATGACTAACTTTGAACAATTTACGTTGGATGATAAAATGAAGTGAGAGACCTCTCTTTTATAGTGGAGGTTACTCCCACTTCTCCGTTGAAGCTATGTTGGACAACTTTTTTTTTTTTTTTTTTTTAATTTTTTGGTTATTACATCATACACATCTAACAGAAATCTTCATCCTCAAAAGTATTTTAATCTTTTAATTACTCGTGGTATTTCTCCCTCATCTCTTCCTTTTTTTTCCACATAATTTCTTTGGTTTGATGTTTTTATAAATACCATTTTCCTAGTACAGAAGACCTTTACTTCACAGGCTAAAATTCTTATTGGTCTTTTCTCGTAACTTGGGTCATTGTCTATATGTAAGGACTCGTAATCTACGACGTGAATCAGGTCATAAAATTAAGGACAAGACAAACAATCTCATATTCTTTTCATAAATATGAGGTAAGATGCTAACTTTTTGAGCTGTCTTAGTGCTCTAACTATTTATCTCTTCATAACATCATTAAACCTTACTAACCTTCATATATCATTCACCACATCTTTCTACTATGGTTGAGGCTCACAATTTCCTTAACTCCTTATCTTTAACACGACACAACAAAATACTAAATGAAATAAATAAGCGTTAAAATTAAAAACACCATATTCGAACTTAAGTTTAAGAAAATAAGTACAACTACCATTTGCATGTGTCATGGACTCGAGTTGCAATGTCGTTGTCAGCCATACATGATGTCTTGCATTTACTTGAGGAAAAAAAGAAAAAAAGTAGCACTGGCAGGAGTATTTTAACAAATACTTAGTAAGTGACCCTTCTATAGGGGTTATGTGCAAACACATACAATTTCATAAGTGAGAGCTATCATAACAAGTCTATTTTCCTAGACTATCCAAAATTGACAATTTTGATGTATACTTAATTTTCATACACAAGGTCCACACGTGCAAGTATGGACCCACCAATCGATTCGCACACCTCTTAGGCTCTTTTCTAGTCGGGTAACATTCTCTGGTAGCTGTTGATGCTAGACACCCATGAGGAATAGCGACCATCATGGCAGCTTTATAATAAACATAATGGTTATTTCCCTACCTGTAGCATACGCGTCCGTGTTATCGTGAAGGAGAAGGGGTATCCCCCGATACATGAGCACATAATAATGCATGAGTTCCCAACATTTTTCCATTTTTGTTATCATATAATACAATCTATCTTGCATTTTCCTTCATATCATATCTTTCATACATGTGTCGGAGTTGTATTTCATGCTAGTTCGTCGTTTTGCACGTCAATCATATCACAAAAACTATATCATATCTTTGCATGTACTAATTCATGTCATGCACATATCATACTATATCATATATTATAAAGTCACATAACATAACTCGAGCATGTCTTCAACATATCATACCACAATATATCATATATCATAAACATATCAATTTATCACATATAGCATAACATTCATGTAACATCTCATATACATCTTATTTTATAACAATTTACATATACGAGCATAAGACACTGCGAAGACACATGCACGTGCCATCAATCAACACACAATTATAACCAAACAAAGTCAAAGCTACTATGACTCCTTAATGCTAGCGCTACTTAACGATGCTCTCTAAAATTTAATTCTGCCTAAAGAGTTCAGCAATAATAAATTAGAATTACTTGAGAATTGACTCACCTAATTTTGTTTAAATAATTTTAAATCTACTCTTAATAATTTAAACTAACAAAACTTCAACCTACATAAATAATTTAAACTCTCAATATAACTAGCAAAAAGTAGTCCTACTAACGTTAAACGCTTTAGAAAATGTATTTTTTGAATGATTTCGAATAGTTTAAGTGAGATACCTTCCTTTTAGAGCGGAGGTTAGTGAACTCCCCACTTCTCAACTTAAGGGACGTGGACAATTTTTTTTCCCTTTAATTTTGGGTGACATTTAGCCCTCTAGCAAATAATTACGAAAAAGTTGCTTTAGAAGGACAAAATTAGGCGTAACGTAATAGTTCCAAAATCATTTTTAATCATAAAATGTTTTTTAATTTCTCACTCAATTAAACACTTAATTTAAGCACTATTTCTAAAGTCAACAATTTGATAAGTCAACGTTTAGTTGGGTTATATTAATATTTAGAATAAATTCACAATTGAAAACAAGTTGTGTTGGCATTGGATGAGCAATCAAGCAATCACTCAAGAAGCCTATATAAAAGGTTAAGAGAGTTTAATTCAAAGCCCAATTTTATAAGCAAAGATGGGTTCTTTTTCTTCTTTAATCGCCACCCTTGTCATTGCCGTTTTGGTGGCTCTAAGCTTGGCTTCCACAATAACACCCAAAGGCTCTGACTGCAAGTTTCCTCCACCTCCACCACCACCACCACCACCAAAGTTCTTTATAGCACCTCCTTCATTTCCAGCACCAAGGAGGCCGCCGCCCCCGCCGCCATCAAAGAAGTCGCCACCTCTACCGGTACCAAAGAAGTTTCCTCTACCACCGTCGGCACCAATAGAGCCAGCTCCTCCACCACCACCATCACCACCACTACCAAACTCGACTCATTAACCAGGGCGAAAGAAGTCTCCTCCCCTCCAACACCAATAAACAGGTCACTAGGTCGCCTCCTCTCCCGCCACAAAAGAAGTCTCCACCGCCTCCTCCGTCGTCTCCTTCCTACTATTAGGTCAACATGTTCTCATTAAGTGGGACTCTTTCATCCTTATAGCTTTCATTTAGTATACTATCAATAAAATTTATATCTTTTGTGTTTCTTCATGTAAAAGCACATCTTCCTAATCCTATGGTAACACACATGAATCAAATATTATTTAAATGTGTATTTTGTTAAAATAATGTATTCAAAGGATTAAAATAGCATTCATGAACAATAAGACACATGAATCAAATATTATTTAAATGTCAGTTGTGCTAAAATAATATATTAAAAGGATTAAAATAAACTTGATTTTCGAACTTTCAAATCTCGGATCATGATGAAAAAACATAAAGACCAAAGTAAATAAAATAAAATGCAATTTAAAAAGGCACACAAAACCATAAGTAGAAGACAAATTGAAATCAAATACAAAATTAGTGTTCAAAATTATTTATAAATGGGGCATGTGTTCTCGATACAAATTCAAACAAATGTAAAAACTACAAAAAATACATAGACATTGATGTCTTGATTTCTTGAGACACTCCCACGTTGGCCACCGCTCCTGAGCAATCCTCTATCTCGACCCATGATCAATAGTTACTTGAAAAAAAATGAAGAATAGGGTGAGTAAAAATACTCACTAGGTAAGCTCTCATCACATCCTTATCGTAGTAAATTACTATATATATATATATTCTAAACTCTAGGATATTTAGGCCTAATCTCTATAGCTACCTAAGTATATGAGGAGACCTCAAAGTTTTGAGTGAGCCCTTGTCTTTTACTTACCCGATGTTCATCATTTTTGTACTTCGACTTAGGTAACTTGCTTAGGTAACTTGCTTTACCTTGGCAGTGAATGACCAACATCTTGGAGTGAGACATTACCTCAATAAAATCTGGTAGGCCTAAAATGACAGTACCACTCTTATAAACCTACCACTGGGTAGGGGCACTATTGGGTCTTACCTAGAATGTTGTGGGGTATTGAAGAAGATAGGAGGATGAAACTTTGATTCTTCGCCCTACTAGCAGCCTAGAGAGCTACCTTAGTCGTTCTTAGGAGTCGTGGAGGTTTACTAGGTTTCTTATATGTCTAGGAAACTTAAAACTCGAACTCTAAACTCCAGGACTCTTTGTTCTAGCTCCTTGGGGCTTTCTTAGTCTAGAAGCACTAGTGTCTAGACCTTTAATCGGCATTCATGATCCTAAAGTGCTCAGATTAACGGAGACGTTACTAACCCTAGGTCATCATATAATCGACCTATCTTTCGCGGCTTAGTCTTATGTCAATGTAGACAACTATGCTCGACAAGGAGAACATGCATTCTATCACCGGGATCTAACCTACATTCTAATGCCTTCATGCAAGCACAATGAGAAAATCACTTCAAGCAGATATCACAATATTACATCCTCCTTTTTAACCCAACTAAACATCTATAACAACATGCATCTCAAAATCTTATCTTGTGGACATTTCTATAATTTTCGACAACATACATGACATTCTCAACTAAAACTACTCATTTAATGCTTTATTCATGTATATTCTAACAACCTAAGACAGGATATGATAGCGTGCTTGTTCGTTCTAGCAATCCCTATAAGTATTGCTCGAGGAGAGTCTGAATGGTTACTCATTTAGATGATGTGTGCCTTTCTAAGCTCATTTTCTACTAGTTAAATGTTCAAAATTTTCTGAAATTCCTCTAGCAAGGCGTAGTTTGTAACGTTTGAAAATTTTTAAATAAATAATAATAATAATAATAATAATAATATAAAAATAAATAAATAAATGATCGTCTCTCCACCTTCCCCAAATATCTCTCCCAACACCTCCTACAACCACAAAATGATCTGAAAAAAAAAAAAAACAAAACAAAACAAAACAAAAACAAAAACAAAAAAATTGACCAGAAATGAAAGAGGAAAGAGAGAAAAGAAAAGTTTTGGGTAAGTTTTTCTTTTATATTTTGCATATGGATAGAAAAGTTATCTTAAGTTACTTATCTTTTTCTTTTATCTTATGCAATTATTTAGATATTAGATATCTGATATAAAATTAAAATTGATTGAAAATGCATCTATCAAATTGCATATAAATTGCATCAAATCATAGTTAATTGATGCATACCCATTTTTCAAAGAAAAATTAGAAGAATTGATTAAAAATGACTTTGGTTAATTGGATAGTCATTTTTAGGAAAGAGTAGAAAACAAAATTGATTGAAAATGGCTTATAATTACATAGTCATAGGAAAGAAAAAAATATAGAGAGAAGAGAAACAAATTGGTACAATAGAGAAAGAAAATGGAAGAGATGAGAAATTATTATTATTTTGTACCTAGAGAATATGGTATTATAACAAACAATGAAGCTGTTTTAGAGCCGTATTTCACCTTGTTAGTTGGATTATTAATTAAAATGTGAAATACTTGTACGAAAGGTGACGATAGGTGCGCTATGAGGCGAACCCCGACAACCTTTGGAGCAGCTCTCAAAGAACGAGAGCTTACGTTAACTAAATTAGGGAATATTTTGGCTAAGGCCAACCAGGTAAGTGGTCTTACTATAGGATAGACTAAAGATTATTTGAATTATGATGATATATGAGTATGACGTTGTGTTGTGATGTATGTTAAATATACGTTATTTATGTTTCAATGAATGACGTACATGTTATATTTGATGCACTTAATGACTTCTATGATGAGTATGATGTATGCATGACGATGTTATTAACATGATGATGTCTTACATGTTGAACATGCCTTATGATGTTGTTTGCCATATTGCATCATGTCGTTAGATCGACATAGGACACAACCCTAAGAGTATGAAAATGATATTAATGTAAATATCCACGAGTACGTGTTACATAGTGTAACCAAGAGATGAGACTAGAGGGTTCTGTCAGAAGAGATGTATAATTGGACTTAGAGGGACCTCATGCATATTGTATGTTTATAAGTATAGGGCTACTTCCCCGAGAGATGATGAGTGCGGACGCGCACTGTATGATGAGCGTAAATGCACACAATGAGGGTGTTCATGAGGCGAATGACACTATGGGGTTCTGCTGACCTCCGGACGTCGCTATAGATTAGCTTGACCAGAGGGTCCAGGGGGTGTGTGAGCGCCCTGGGGATTCACACTCGCATGTGTGAGTGGTGTGTAGGGAAGTACTACACATCCAATTTTTTCAAGACTAGAGGCCACCCTTAAGATGATTAGAGATAGGTCCCTAATTCATGATTGCATGTGTTTGCATTAGCATGGCCCCTATAGTGGGGTCACTTACTAAGTATATTTTCGGAATACTCAGGTCGTGTGCCATATTGTTTTTCAGGTAAAGGCAAGATGCCCATGTACGATTGACGGCGGCATCATGATTAGAGACTATGGCGCGTGCATAGGATAGTTGTATGTTTAAAATTCCTAGTCTTAGTTAGAATAGGGTGTTTGCATTCATTTATTTAAATTATTTAATTGGTAATTGTTTTGTCTTATTTTGAACTCCAGCATAATGTTTGAAACAGGTAAGTCCGGCAATGTTTTCTAATGTTTTAACTGAAGTTTTAAATTTTTCCACTAATAAAGATGAGCATTCTTAGAGTTATATTTTGCATTAGAGATGAGCATGAAACGTTAGTGACGACTTTAGATATGTGTAAATTTAAGGTCGTTACATAGTTCAAGTTTAATTAGGGTCAGTATTGAAATAAAAGTAAAAAAACAGTCGAACGAGAGTTGAAATGAATGGAAATGAGCACTTCAAGTGCATTCATAGACTTCCCACATGTAGGCAGGATATCTCACGCATGGGTCTCACGTTTGCATACGCATGTGCAGAGAAATGCATTGTACTCCAAACAGGCCCGAGTTTGAACTTTAATTGTAACAATCGAGCCCTGACAAAATATTAAATATTTTATTTTTTTTCCATCGAATCTAAATTTTTGGGATTTTATTGATAGCATTAAAAATGAAATTTCAATATAGTGTAGAATAGGAAAATACATGAAAAAGTCAATTCGATACAAAATTGATACAAAATTGAAATTTGTGAAAGGTAAAGAAAAGAAAGGAGAAGGAATAAAAGGAAAGGAAGGGAAAGAGAAAAGAAAAGAAAAGAAAAGAAAAGAAAGGAAAGGAAAAGGAATAAAAAGAAAGGAAAAGAAAGAGAAATGAAAAGAAGAGAAAGGAAAGGAAAAGGAATAAAAAGAAAGGAAAAGAAAGAGAAATGAAAAGAAGAGAAAGGAAGGAAACCCTGAGAGAAGGAAGATAATCGCCCCCTAACTTCGATTCCGATCACAAGAAATCTGATTCCGGCCAAGATCCTTCACAGAAACTTGTGATATCCTACTCGGAGAGGAGAAGAAACACTTTTTACAAGGGTGTGAAAACTTTTCCCTAACAGACGCATTTTAAAGTAAGGGAAAACCTAAAGAGGACAATATCTGCTAGTGGTGGATCTGTGCCATTATAAATGTTATTAGAGCCAGATATCGGATTATGTGCCAGCGAGGAAGCTGTTCCCCAAAAGAAGGTAGACAAGAGAATGTGTGTCAGTAAAAACGCTGGGCCCTAAAGGGAGAGTGGATTGTGATATCCCACATTGGTTGGAGAGGAGAACGAAACACCAATGTGTGGAAACCTTTCCCTAGCAGACACGTTTAAAGCCTTGAGGAGAAACCCAAAAGGAAAAGCTCAAAGAGGACCATATCGGGTGGACCTGGCCGTTATAGTTGACTATTTATAGGAAATGAAAGGTGATAGAAGACTTACCATACAAAGGTTATTTATAGGAAATGAGAGGTGATAGAAAACATACAATATAAAGCAATAATATGATAGCGCCCCCGTACATCGAATATCAATGCAAATAATGTTGAATACTTT